ACTTGAACTAGAGACCAGGGATGGATTTTGGTCACCACATTTCAAGTCAGAATTCGAAAGCAGCGATGAGGAAAACCAGGCTATGGAGCAAGTTCTCAACCACCTCCTCTAGTCACCATTCGCTATCCGAATATCATAACAATGTCATACTATGTGAAATGCAAGGTGAGACTGCTATAACAGCTTGTTGAACTATTATTGAACTGCCACGTTATCTAACCTGAAGACTACTTTGCTATCCTCTGAATAGACTACTGCGCTGATTGCAATAATGCTTGAGTAGATGCACACTATGAATCTGGTATTTGTGACTACCGTGACCTATATTTCTTTAAGTTTTATTGTTTTCTTAGGATTTCTTCTTGTCCCTGCTGTAACACTTATCATGAAGAAGTTATAGTGGAAACTGAAGCCTATAGTTTCTCGGACTCCGCTTTTAACGCTTATTAGGCTTTGTTAGAAAGTTGTTTTGTTTTGGGTAATGTAACCGGTATGGATACTTGGTTTTTAGTTTTATTTTATATTTTGTTTTAAGTATCGCTTGATACTTGGTTTCTTTTAAATATCATTTGATACTTGATTTGTTTTAAGTATTTTTTGATACTTGATTTTGTTTTATGTTATGTTTTAAGTATTATTTGATACTTAATTTGTTTTACCAAAATGTATCGTTTGATACCTTTCGATAGTTTTGTTCATGCTAGATATGAACAGATTTGTTTATTTAAACACGGTCTGATTCCACAATGGAAAGAGCAGACTTCAATAGACAGTGTTTCAATATACTTCATTAAATAGTTACTTTACAGTTTTCTCAATACACACGCCAAGCCTTCTTTAGTTCTACACTCTCACCTCCTCTGTGGTAGAGCAGGCTACCTGTCAACTATAATACCTATTACCGATAACGTGAATAGTACCTTGTGAACACATTACATATGGATTGTTACTGCAATTGTTACAGAAGTAAGAAGAAAGGAAAGAATCTAGATAGAGCAGTGAAAACTAGCGAACTTACCTTAACCAACTATGAGACTACTACTATAGATATAGTAATAAATGAGTACCATTGCAAGTGCAAAATATCCTAGCCTGAATATATGATAGAAAGAGTATCAGTCATGGGTAAATATCCAACAAGCCTGCGTACTTTGTAGACAGAAATAATTCCAAGCATGGAGTCTGGTAAACCTGTCAAAAGGTTAACCTCATATAAGACATAATAGGAGAAAATATTTCACAGGAAGTAGATATTGCAAAGAAACAGAGGATTCTGAAGGACGGAGAAGAAGTAGAGAAGAATTAGTTTAACAAAAAAAATAACTAAGATAATTTCAAGGATGCAATTCTATGTATAGGTTTATATATCATACTCTAATAAGGGCATTATAAATAGAGTTTCTCATGCTTCTTAGGAGACCTTTTGCTCCGTAATGAGAATGGCCATAGCTACAACGTGGGAATACACCAAGCCATGTAATGGGTTGACCCGGGTCGAAAATGAGCCGACCCAACCCAACCCAAACCCAAAAAATGTTCAACCCACCCAACCCAACCCAACGAAGAATAACCCGGGTTTGCCCAACGGACCGGTTGGGGTTTTGAAGAAATGGGAAGCTACTCTAGTTAAGAAAAACATGATTATAATTATTAGGTATTACAAGAGTTATATGCTTGCAATAGTACAGAACCAACTGGGGTGGGGGAGGCGAATAGAAGTAATAGATCATACAGAATGAGGGAGGAAAGAATGGCATAAGTAATAAGAGTGTAACTAGGAACCAGAATGCCAACTGTGGAGACACTGAGTGGCTTGAATTGTTTCCGGATAGAGAGAATGGTGTGAGTCGGATATCATCCGGTGGCAACGAGGAATCTGAGTTTACTGGTGCTCCGTGAACTTCGGACCATTCAGTTGTGGTGCTCTCTTCGCGCTGCAATTGAGGGGTCTCAATATCTGATATGGGACTCGGTGTCCTTAGAAAAGGCGGGGGACTAGACAGAACACTTCTGATATCAGAAACAAAACTCATGATAATTGTATATCAGTATGACGCCGAAGGTAAATGACTTGAAGACAGGGAGTAACCAGAAAATAGGAGCAATACCAGATAGGTAGTCACATAGGAGGGCTCGCATAAAATAATATTAACTTAACGAAGAAAGTTCAAGCTCGTATTGAGCGTCTTTAATCCTTCCGAGCGAGTGATCTTCTGAGACCCGTAATCACTCTTAGGTCAAGTTTTTCTGAAGATCTAAATGATTTCCAGAAACGGTGAGGTAGAGAAAATAGGATTACACTATTCGCTTTAACTATCCGAGCAATAGAGAGTCTGCGCAAAGAGACCTAGATGGCCGGAGATCCCTCTATTTCTGGGTAACCTCAAAATCTTGGACACCTAGCCTGACCTAGGTGGCAGGCGAGACCTAGGGGAAGTGTAAAATGTTAATCTTTTAGGCCTGCCGGTATCCAACCGGACTCTCTTAATGCTCGACATCTTTGAGAGCCATGATAACTTGAGGGCCACAGCCCCCGGTTTCTGCCACCTCCACAGGTCATCGGAACATTGTCTTGTGAAAAAAAGCATTTCAGCTAGGCCGATATTACTCGGGTGTAGCGGGGGGAAATTTATGGGCTCTGGGTTAGCTAGTATAAAATGTTTCCGTTAACAACTGGTGAGAACCTGGAGTGATGCGTGCGGGACTCTTTTGATGTCAACCACCTGAGAAAGTAGTAGTCTAACTATTAGGCTTTCTATGCCACAATCTAAGTGTCTGCTCTTCCCCCACCACCAATCTATCCTCGCACACCACTGGTACATGCAACCCCAACTTCGTCGTTCTCACCACTTCCCTCATTCTGACCCAATACCTCCATCTCATCCCCCCCCCCTCCAACCCCGCTCTCTAACCTTAACTTTACCCTCCCTTTCCCAATATAATATATATCTACGATACCACATTTAAAAAAATCTACAGACCAGATTTTGAGCCCCACAGTGACCACCTACTGTAGGGGTTTGTGAAAGTTACCCTCCCCGTGCGAGTATTGTGGACTTAAGGAGTATCACACCACTCAGACGCAATGGCACGGTTAGCGATAGTCATGGATTGACTGTTCTTAGAACGGGTTGTTTTCATGATATGGTTACAGCATTTCGTCGTCGGCAACTTGCTAATTTTTCACAAGGAGATCATCCTCATGGCTACCTCAAAGGTTCTCAGGAGAGTGGACAAAAGAGCCAGAGGGGAACGCAGAGGGTCCGAGGAATAAATCGCACTGTCCGTATGAAGATTTTAGTTCTTGAGAAAGATATTGCCAACTTTCTATTTTCAACTCGATCTGCTCAGGCCATTCTTGTTTCTCACTGAAATGAAATGATAGTAAATAGCCCCTACCTTGCCATGTTTATCAGAACTCGTTTCAACCAAGTCCGGAAATGGTGGGAACACTAGCACAAAATATTCTGAGCTCAACTGGTCAAACGGCCGACCTGAAATTGGACAGTGGCTAAGTGAATGGTGCTAGAGCGCCTTTTGAATTCAATCCGACCGCTTGAGTACATTCGATATCCTAGAATACTTGAGAATTTTCCGCTGTTCCGTGTGGGGTTGTTAAGTTTGCCTTGGTACCAATGCCTATGATAGAACAACGCCTTGCCATGAGGAGAAATTTAGAGCACCTCATCCCATGCCACGCTTATTAGCTCTTACATGGGATGCCAGTATGTTCAGCACAAGGCTCAACTATTACTTCCTTTCACTTTGTTTTATCTATCTTTACTCTTTATTACTATAGCAGACAAACAATTGGACCAAGAACATACTCACACCTACGGTGGCCTTTTGTTGATACATACCCCAAACCCCTCCACCCTAAGACGAACTGCCTCAATTCCTCCCTCAAAACACTTGAGATAATCCAACAACCTTGGAGCTCGCACCTCTGACTAGTGGACAACACCCTCAAGTATTCCCCAGCATAAATAAAGGACGGGGGGTGAAACTATGACAGGATACAGACACTGAATTGTTTTGGTATGGTAGCTCGACGCCGATTATGAGCTTGTGAGTAGGGACAAACAAACAAAAAAATATCAGTTGTCGGGTAGAATGCCATAGCAGCAGGTTTGTTGGGGGAGCAGGTGGATAGATGGATAGTGTTTAGGCTTTCGTTTTGTGTCGCAACATCGGTGGGATGTGCATGTGGGCGGAAGGTTTCGGTCTTGGTGGATGTGTAGGGGTTACTCGGACACTGGTTCCATAGGTGTGTTGCCGAGCAATTCCGAACACCGTGGGTGACAGATGTTTGTTGGAAAAATCGGAACACTGGTGGGTGGTATTCATATACAGCGGCATGGAATAGGAGGATAATCCATGAGGACGCCACGGGCGAACTGCGATCGGGTATCTCGAGTACAAGATATTTTGCAAAAAGAGCACTGTACAGTACAGTACACGCGCCATACTCATTGTGTTAGTCTAAGCCACATGTCAAACATCATCCGGCTTCTTGTCTGCCGGGCCCATATTTTATCTCCAAAAGCCCTGTCGCTCTCTCCCGGCTGCTTACTCCGGACAATCGTACCTATCACCTGTTCTGATTTCTTTCCTCACCACGCGGGTACAATAAAGTAATTATGTATTCCGCCACAGCCTGTGTCCCTTCTATGGTACCGGTGGGTGGCTGGGGATATTTGGGCTTCATTGTAGCCCATGAAGTTGTTCTATCTACAATGTACCCAACTCTCTCATTCCTACACCCCAATCACGTATATTGGAGAACTGGAAATGACACCTGATGCACAACCGAGGGCTAGGGGGCGGAAATATGGTACCGTATAATAGCATACCAAACAGGCCAAACCGGGGTCAGGGCGGGGGCTTAATGCTAAAATGCTTGAGAAATCAGCAACAAATTCTTTACTATCGACTTGGCAACAAACTAGATATATCATACCTCATATCACCATGGAAGTTCCGTATGGTATCCTATCTTAGGGATGGGGTGAGCTGAAACGGTGGGTTGTAGCAAGCGGGGAGGGTGCCTAGGCCGGAGGGAGTATGATAAAACGTTCCCCTTCCAAACCCACTGGACTCTTCATACTTCGCAATAACAAAATCGCCGCTTTCTTTTCCAAGGCAGCGGCGATTTATGAACTCTTCATGATCACCATCATTGGCTGCTTTGATAGCAACATCTTGACCGAGGTAAGCCGAGCAGTCGGACCCCTCCCCCAATTTCTTGATGGTGTAATCCCGTTGTGGTAGTGCAAGAGTTGTATACCGGGTTAGGGTAGACAGATGAGAATGTGGCGAGTCGACCACCTCCCTTCAGCTGAATAGAACCAACACTCATTTCTCCTTCGACACACTTCCTCCTCACAAAGTTTCCGCGTGCGCCGGATGTCGACCCTCCATCATTCTTCTCCACAATCTCCTTCATTGTCCTCCCGCCCTCCGCAATCCCTCTTCCCTCTAGAGGCGCGTCTCCCGTCATACCCTCACAGAAGCCGACCTTTGTCTCGGGTTTGGAAAACTGTAGACCATACCTTCGATTTTGCTGCCTTGGGGGGGCTTTCCACGCTCTAATCCTGTGCTGTATCATACCCTTTGGGGCATGTTTTCGACCAGGCGCATCTTGCTCGCTGCGTCGACACCGACTCCGGCCCTTGTGGTGGTACCCTCACGCTTGGTTGTGGGGACTCCTCCAGGTTAAGCATTTCAGCGAGCTCCATTTTCTTCCTTAATCGGGTCGACATCGCCACGGTGATGGCTTCCTTATCCTCGGGCTCTCTTCTGCTATTGGCAAAGGCAGGATTGCAGTCCACTCAGATCTGCAAGAATTTTCTTATCTCATATTTCCGTGCCTTCTCGACGACTTGTCTTTCGCAGGTGCCACAATAATTGGGAGAGGACGGTAACAAGGGGACGCTTTGTGGTGGCGTTGGCTTCGCATCGCATGGCACGGAATCCATCGCCCATGGGATTGGCACGAGTACCTGGATCCGGCTGTCCTCGACGATCCAGTGTTGGCTGGAAGGGTAGATACCATCAATTTTGCTGAATTCTTGGGGGCCGCTCGCTAAGATCAAAAGATATGACGGGACAGGTTAGCAGACTTGGCACACAGAACAGTCTGTGGTCTCCGGAAGGAGGCTCTTTCGAAACACTCCCGTACCCGAGCGCTCGAGTACTTGAGTACTGTAGACGTACAGTACTCCACTACCCGGTCCACCCGCCGCATCCCCATCAGCTTCCAAAGGCAGTTAAAGCTACACTGGTATTACCCAGCATAGGTAGCGCCTAGCCAAGATGAATCGCGCCCCATTCACCTCGCTCGCGGAACCAAGGATGTGTCGAGATATTTCCGGATGGCTCTGCCATTAAATATCGCAAGCATAAACCTCACATGTTTTACACCCGGACGGGTCCATTACGCCAATACCTGTGTACCACTCAACCTTCTCACACCATCATCGTGCCAAACGCAGGGAGGAGTTGAGATTTACCCGATCTCGCTAAACCGCTCTCTAATCGTCAGAACACCTTCACATTCGCCTTCTCCATGCATCAGACCTATCATATGTATCTTTTCCATCCTCGGGGGTGGCTAAAAATGATATAATACCCCCGGCAGCCTGATAATATACTGGTTAGACTATGCTCCTTTTCCTTTCCAGTGATCTGTGCTTTTAAATATGACACCACAAGTCATTGTGCTGATGGGTGCTAGCGCACAGTTTATCGTCGACAATAGTCTAATTTATGCCCTATACAATTAATTGGACCGGAGAGCCGATCATCAAATTATGTAAATCAGAGTGCATGTATCGCTGGGAGGAAAGAGAATAATTTACAACAGTGAAATCCGGTCAAAATCCATCATCTATAAGCGGGAAACGATGTGCGATTTAGGCCCAAGCACGGCGAAGCTATTGTGACACAAAAGGAGCAAAAACTAAAACTAAAATATAGACTCCACATTCTCATTACACATACACAAATAGCACATCCCTACTCATACGAACGCCCAGGGAGGCATATGCGTGGAAGGTTACCAGGTTTAATTGCGGGCGACGACTTCCAAGGAGGCTCCAGGGTAGATCTGGGAGGAGGGGAGAGACAGACAGCAATGTTCATGGGATTGGTGCTCGTCGCAGAGAGGGACATAGAGTCGGTTTAGGGGAGGGTTGGGTGGCTGGTGAGAATAGGAGCGTATCTACGAGTATGGGGGGGAGCCAGGTAGAGAATGTTGAGGATTATGGGAAAGACCTGGTATCGTTGGAGTGAAGCAGGGCTGGGGTTTGTGGATGTGCGTGTTCGTGACATCACAACTCTACAACAATAGCATGGCGATTCCCGGCAGCCCACAAAACTCTTGTTTCGCCGTCTTGGTCGGATATTTTGGAGTTGACGTCTTCGCGTTCCAATAGTAGCCCCCCCGCTCCATCTTGGCCATACCCGGCACTCTACGAGAACTGTGTGCTGTCGAATATTAGCGGGGACATCTCCCCGCCCAGCGCGCCCATAATTCCTCCATCATAGTAGCGCCCTTACTCGAGTAGTTAGTATAGGTGAATGTCTCTATGGGCGTTGGAGTTGCATGGCAGGGTTGGGAGGATCCATGCAGAAGGAATTGCATTCTTTTATTTCCCTTTCAATAGCCTCCGCCGTATCCGGGGAATATGATACAACAAGTCATTTCATCAACAACAACCACCTCTGACACCTCCTCCCAGCGACCACATTCAACAATTGGGGTGCCTCGCTACACTAACCATCTGTCCTATGGGGTTTGGTAGATGCTCGCCCGGGACGTGCCCCCATCCTCCATTCGTGTCCCTCCCAGCAATGCATCAGAGCGCTCTTCGACAAAGTCATTTATCCGAGTTCCCTGGAATGACAGTCCTCGTCTCTAGCACCAGCCTTTCTACTTCCCATTATCCACGTGCAACAGTCCATATGAGGGGCCCAATATTATACCCCCCAAAATTCCTTTTGTTGAGATTATAATTGTACCGGTCCATGTGAGTAATTGCGATGTCAACAACGTCGAAGGCTGATGCAAAATGCAATCAAGTACGGCCGATTATGTGACCTTTGGTGGTAATATTTCAATTTCATGGCTTAGTCCCTGATACAGGATCCACGAAATTTCAGTTCCTAGATGTATAGCTTTCAATACTATAGCAAAGCATGGGCAAGAATTATAACGCCCCTCAGATAGCATACCCTAGCATGGGCGCGGAAATATAAGGAAGAATACTTGAGGAATCTAGAGAGCTGAGGAAACGCAAAAATGTAGGAAAAAACTCTTTGGTAGTCCGAAAGTTGAGGTATACCAAGCAGGCCCACCATTACCGATTGGGTCGAACCAAAACGTCGGAGCTAGTGGAAAGATACCCCGGGAGCGTGAAGTGGATAAAGTGAACTGTTGAAGCCCCCCTATCTACGATGACAGGTCCTAAGTAGAAGGTCGACAACACCTCTCCCGAATGAATCCTTTGAGGATTGAGCTCAGTGCACCATATCTCCACCGGCGGGGGGTGGAAACGTCTGTCGAGTAGCAATAGGCGCTCCGAATGCCAGCTCCACTTCGGGGGTGCCAACCCCAGCCTTGCTTCCCTATCGCTCTGCTCTTTCGATCCAATCCATCAGGTATGGCTCAGAATTTATTTTCCTACCATCGACTCCGATTTCCCCAATAATCACGGATATCATCCAAAGTTTCAGAAATGAGTAAGAATCCAAACGTGTTTATTGAGGAATATAAGAAATATCTTTCCAACCCGCTGCTCACATATCTTTCCTGGACATTTCGGAGAATTCTTTTTTGCGATTCCCTCCACCTGAGCGCAAACCACCCGCCTGACGATGTATCCTTGCTCAATCCCATTGGGATGTATCCCGCGATATCAGTTGTATTGGGTTTTATGGATAAAACTGCAGCGCTCCGGCCAAGATGGTGGCCAATCTAGCACCTGCTGTGCCGCTTTCTTGTTTGTGGTATTCGCATGCATAGCGACTCTTCCGGGGATTGTCTCAGTGAATCTAGATCCCCACCTTGATACCCTTCCACACATTTGTCCGCCTTAACGTTGGCTGTAAGCATAGGATGGTCTTCAGAATCTTCAGAATTTTTGGCTCCCCTCCACCCATGACATTCTCTCAACCTCTAAGGATCCGATGTCTTTTCCGAGGCTCTTTCAAATTCACCGGCAACCCATTTCGGTAGTGAACAAAGCATATTTGTCTCTGACTGCTCCTTACTCCCTCCGAAATCAAAGTTGAAATATGTACCAGTTATGTCTTGCTCCTGGGATTTATCGTATAACCTGTCCTCCACCATTATCAATTAAGAAAATCTAAATCCAATATAAACCCATGGCAGGTGCCATGTTGGTTAGTGGGATATGTCGGCATAAAAACAAACAAATCCACAAACTCCATCCCGACATAACCACAAAAATACAAATCCTTTTCAATTCCGGTGATTCTCAAAAACCGCTACATGCAGCCCTATGACAAATACGCCCTTCTTTCCCTCCATGGGGTCCGTGCACTAGTTCCATAGACACCATTGTCTCTCCCTTCGCTCCCTTCCCCCTCCCCTTGCCCAGCCTAAAGCCGACCTTGGAAGCCATCTGTCCTGCAATCAAGGCTGCGGGCCGAACACCCATGTTCCTTTCTGGGAATTAGTGGGCATTTTCTCTGGCTGAGTGAACATTCACGATCCCATCCCACTACCGTTGGTTTGTGAGTGACGATGTGCTATTCGCCTGGTTATGATGGGAGGTTTAGTCAGTTTTTTTCTCTGTATCGCAATTGCGTGTCTCGATTTAGATTGGAAATTGTTTCCTGCCCATAGGTTCTGAATTTGGTCCAGCCTCAGCTGTTCCCCGCATAAATCAACTATATTCTCCTTTCCTCCGAGAGATATATATACTGTAATTTATCCTGTGTATCCCCATTACCATCTCCTCGACGACTTGTATTTTTCAGACGTTACTAAACTCAGTTGCCATTTCCTATGGGCAAAAGATCTCCGCGAGCCTCAGGCGTCAGAAAATTGTGAGTAGGGGGGGAACAACAGTTCAGCCACAACCTCGGGATTCCCTCTTTAACACGATAGGTGGTGTTTCATGCTGCATGGCGGAAGTCTTGCGATGTCCTGGGCTCGTGCCGGGACTGGGATAAAATAGGGGTCCTCAAAGTACTGGTACGGTACGGCAGAAATGGCGATTCCTTTAATCGTCTAGGCTTGGGTCTGACCAATCACGTCTGGGATTCCCGGTCAGGATTTGAGCACCCCTTTAAAGGTCGTTGAGCGATTCCTACCGGGCAAGCCAAAGAAAAAAAGAAATGGCTGTTATTGAGTATCCCTTGCCTCTCGCATGGCGTATCATGAATCATGATAGCTCCCGGAACTGTACTAAATAACTCTTTAGGAAGGAGGAAATCTTTGCTGGAACCAGGAAACCGACTTGGGGGGTGGAAATCGTCTCCCCATGCTCCTCAGTCCGCTTGCCAGCTCTTAGCCAATTACCCCCCAGCCCGAATTGAAAGAACATTGTTGCCCTCCTACTTTGAAGACGCTTTGGAGGCGGGGGACACTTTTATACAACATAATTGACCGCTATCTTGGATTCTCGCTTGTGTTCCTATACTGGTACTCTCCGGCCCTCTACATCTATCTCGGCTCACCAGTCTCATACCAGTACTCAAAAAATCCCCTAATTCATCACTACCGCCGTAGAGGACTGGACTTTTGCAGTACGAAATGCATCCGCACATACTGCCTAAATTAGAGGAGAGACCGAAAACAAGTATAACCATATCTAACCTTGTGGACATGATCTGTCACAGTTCGCTAGCCCGGACCCAATTGATGCCAAGGAGAGCAATCGGCAAACCTCGTTTCCAACTCACCGGTATTTCCGGGCGATGGGTGAGTATTGATTTTTCGCTAGGCACAGTATGGCAGCCTTTAATGGAATGCGTGAGATTACCTGTTCGTCGACTAACTAAGTGTTGCCAGCCAGTGGATGAGCGGACAATGTGTATCGATGACAAAACTGTACCGCAGTACTGTACCTCGGAGCGCCACCACCCTGAGCAGTGCGTAGAAGCAAAGGTAAGTGGAAAGGAAAGGGAGTATTGAAGTAAAATAAATCGTTAGGTAACGTGAAGAGAGAAAAGTATAGACGGAGGAATGATGGATAAAAAACCAGCAGGAGATTTTCTTAGGCGCACAATTGAAAGGTCAGAATTCGCATATCATTTCTAAGTAGATAACAAGGCCCTTTTAACTCAAGATGATCTACATCTTG